GGATTCAGACATTAAGTGGTGTCTCTATGGATCCTAGAATAATTAATGACCAATTTCGAGACTTTTATTCATCTCTCTATGCGTCTGAGTGTGCATTTAGTACGGAGGCTTTGGACTCATTTTTCAATCATCTTAAGCTCCCATCAATCGATCAGACACACAGCCTCCAGCTGGAGGGACCAGTAACTGTAGAAGAGATCATGCAAGCTATCAGCAAACTGCAGTGTTCTAAGTGTCCCGGACAGGACGGGTTTCCGGTTGAGTTCTATCGTAAATTCATGCCTAAACTGGCTCCGCTCATGATAAATATGTATAAGCACTCACTGGAAGTTGGATCCCTCCCACCCTCTCTACTGCAGGCATCTATATCCCTGATCCTAAAAAAGGATAAGGATCCACTACAATGTGGCTCATACCGTCCCATTTCTTTGTTAAATGTGGATTATAAAATCCTTGCTAAACTTCTAGCGAGGCGTGTAGAAGCAGTCTTACCATCTCTAATCAATCTGGACCAAACAGGCTTTATTAAAGGGAGATACGCCTTCTCTAACCTTAGACGTTTGTTTAATGTCCTTTACAATCCCTCAGACTCCAACAGCCCTGAGTTTGGGATCAGTTTAGATGCTGAGAAGGCTTTTGACAGGGTAGAGTGGGGATACCTCTTTTATGTTTTAGATAAATTCGGCTTTGGTAAAATATTCATCTCCTGGTTGAAACTTCTTTATACTTCCCCGCTTGCCGCTGTCAAAACAAATGGCACATGCTCTGACTTCTTTCCCCTGTTTAGGGGACTAGGCAGGGCTGTCCTATGTCGCCATTGCTATTTGCAATCGTAATTGAGCCCCTAGCCATATCGCTAAGATCAAACCCAGGTATCACCGGGGTTTTTAGAAATGGTATAGAACAAAGAGTCTCCTTATATGCAGATGACTTGCTTCTTTATATCTCAGAGCCAGCATCCTCATTCCCTTTGGTACTTTCAATACTTGAACAGTTTAGCCTTATTTCTGGCTATAAACTGAATCTTGCTAATAGCGAACTGTTTCCCTGAATGCTGCTGCACAGAAATATCAGTGCACAGCACTGCCTTTTCGAGTTGTATCAGACAACTTCACATATTTAGGGGTTAAATTACAAGTCATTTTCATGCTCTTTTCAAGCTTAATTTCGACCCACTTGTGGAGAAAGTTAGGCAGGATTTGGACAGATGGTCTCTACTCCATCTGTCTGTAGCAGGGCGCATAAATACAATTAAAATGAATATCCTCCCCAGATTTTCTTTTCTTTTTCAGTGTGTCCCTGTATTTATTCCAATTTCCTTTTTTGTTAAATTAGACAAGATTCTATCTGGGTTCATCTGGAACAAAAAAAAACCCCAGAATACGCAAGACATATCTTCAAAGACCGAAAAAGATGGGGGGGATGGCTTTACCAAACTTTATGTTCTATTATTGGGCATGTAATATTCGTATTCTCAGGTATTGGCTACAGGGGGAGGACACGAATAATGCCCCGGCCTGGCTCAGTTTGGAGACTTCTTCCTGTGTCTCAGCCTCTTTACCAGCCCTGATTTATGCCCAAAAGCAGCCTCCGAGTGCAGGTTCTTATAATAACTCTATTGTCAAAGTTACCTTGAAAATATGGTATCAATTTCGTCGTTACTTTAAGTTGACCTTTTTTCCCCTTCAATCACCCATTGTGAAAAATCCCTCTTTTCAGCCTTCGTTAGCTGATGGTGCTTTTTATTTGTGGGCCTCTTTGGGTATTAGGTCTTTTTCTGATCTGTACATTCAGAATACATTTGCCTCCTTTGAACAGCTCTCATTGAAATTTGGCCTTCCAAAAAGTCACTTTTTTCGCTATTTACAAATCCGGAGTTTTGTTAAGGAGAAATCCTCTCAGTTTCCATCTAGACCTTCTTATCATGACTTTGATAACCTTCTATCGCCTCCCCCTTCATTACAGGGCCTGATCTCCTGTTTGTATGGGAGAATATGCTCCTTTGGCAATTCTTCAATCTCGGCTATTAAATTGGCATGGGAGCAGGATCTGGGGTGTGTGATTCAGGATGACTCTTGGGATAAAATTCTTTACCGGGTCCATGGCTCCTCATTCTGTGCCAAACACGGGCTGATTCAATGTAAGATTCTGCACCGTATACATTGGACTAAGGCCAGACTAGCTCAAATATACCCCAATCTTAGCCCTGATTGCGACCGTTGTCATCAAACACCTGCCTCTTTAATGCATATGTTTTGGTCATGTTCATCCCTCAAACAATACTGGATTAATATTTTCTTGATTTTATCTAAGATCACCCAGCTAACCCTCCAACCTGTGCCCTTAACTGCTTTGTTTGGGGTTCTTCCTGATTCAGTTGCCTTGCCGACGCCTCAAGCGGATCTGGTAGCATTTTTCACCTTATTGGCAAGACGCAGAATATTGTTATGTTGGAAGTCCCCTTCCGTCCCATCCTGGGAAATCTGGATCAGAGACGTTTTGCACTTTAGCAAACTCGAAAAGATTAAATTCACCCTACGCGGGTCTACGGCCAAATTTTTTAAGACCTGGCAACCCTTTTTTGACCATGTTCAGACTTTGCGGTCTCGCAATGCTCCCAATTAGCCAGCTCAGACTCTATCATATTTTATTTTTTTCTTATCTTATGTTTAAGTAAGAGGCCTAAGTTTAAGTATATGGATTCTATTGTGCCTGCGCCCTAGTATTTATTTAACTACTTTATACATATTTTGTTTTCTCTAACAGAATTGACTTATCCCTATCACTAAGCTGACCACTTATCATCTGTGGTTTTTTTTTTTTTTTTTTTTTTGGGGTTTTTTTGTGTGTTTTGGTTTTTATGTGTCTGTGTGGGGGTGTGGGTTCTGGATACTCTCCACATCTCCTTTGTACACTCAGGAACTGTTGTCTTGTACCCTTGGGTTTGTTACTAGTATTATTAGATTGGACTTTTTCCTTTTTCTGTTTGTACACCCACTGGTACTGCTATAATCATGAGGTGGGAATGTATGTTTTATATTGCTTTATGTTCTTTAAAAAGAAAACGGCATATTGTTCAATTTATCTTTTGTAAAAGTCGATGCAAAAACTTTAATAAAAAAAAAAAAAAAGAAATGCAAGAACAAGAAAAAATTATAAACCAGTTTCATGTTGGTATTGATTGTTTTAGAAACAAATCAAACTGCAAGGAATGAACTTTAGCCCCCTATTTGTGAGTAAAAGCATTTTGTAATAGTGCACCACTATAAGTGCCTGTGCTGATTTGTTAGCAAATAGTTTTTGGACCGTCCAAGTCCTCAGAACTCACTGCTGGTATTATACATACACGAGCACGATCATTAGATTTACTGCAGCTTTCTACTCCTCCTCATGACCTCACTAAAATGGACTGCAGCTAACTCACCTCTTCCTCAAACACATCTTTTCTGAATTGTCTTTGAATTTATCTGGTGGAGGTTTCCCATCATGTTCCATCCTCTTCGAATAAGCTGAGTTCTTCTTCTTCTTCTGGCTCCTCCCTTTAGGGGTCACTACAGTGGATCATCTGCCTCCATCTTATTCTATCCATAGCCGCCTCCTCGTTCATACCAACCCTATCTATATCCTCCATCACTATATCCTTGAACTCCCTCTAAGGGCTTGCTCTTTCCCTCCTGCCTGGCAACTCCATATGGAACAATATATTCACTATGCCTCTTCTACATATGTCCAAATCATGTCAGCTTTGCCTCTCTAACTTTGTCTCCAAACCGCTCAACATGAGCTGTCTCTCTGATGCACTCATTTCTAATCTTCTCCATTCTGGTCACTCCCAAACAAAATCTTAGCATCTTGAGCCCTGCCATCCCCTGCCTGGCCTTTTGCACTGCTTGTTGCTTTGGATGCTTGACTCCAGGTATTTAAACTCATGTACCTTCAATACCTTTACTCCTTGCATATTTCATATGAGCTGACCATCTGACGCAGAAGAATACAAAGACATATTTTGTTGAATGCACTGAAACAGAGGACAAATTTTACCTTTTCCATGGCCACTTTGTGAATCATTTGTCCCAAATGTTCTGCTTCATCCTTTGAATCATCTTTAGATTCATCTTGTGTGGGTCTGCTATCATGTGTCCCATCCTCTTCAGATGCTGCCACCATCTGTTTTCAGAGAAGACAACAATATGTTTGGTCATTTTTGATGGATTGATTGTGGAAGCACTGAAACTGAGGATGAATTTCACATCTCTTTGTGGCACAGGACACCCAGTTTTGTTTTTCATGGCTACCTTAGGAATCCTTTTACGTTCTTGTTCTTCCTCCTCTTCTGAATAGCCTTCAGATTCATCCTGTGTGGGTTTCCAGTCATCTGTCCCATCATCTTCAGATGAGCTCACAGACTGTTATTAGAACAGAAAAATATATATTTTACTCATTTTTCATGGATGTGTGGAAACAAAACACTTACATCTTTAACTGCAGGAGAAGAAACTCTGCTGGATTTTTCCTGCCCACCTTAGGAACCCATTCCCTCGCTTCATCCTCCTCCTCCTCTTCTGGATTGTCTTCTTGTGTGAGTTTCCCCACATCTGTCCTATCATTTTTGTAAAAGACCACCATCTGATTTTAGAAAAGTAAAAGTAAAAAGGTAAAAGATTAGTAATCAGTGAAAACACTAAAAACAAGCACAAGAACATACATTACATACTTTTCTCTTGCGCAACTGGTATGTCACTTTTTGTAGATGCTCCACCCCTTTTTCAAATCCTGTTTAGTTTCTCTTATTGTGGCTCCGGCACTACAGGCAACCTCACCCTGACCTGGGCTCACCATCTGTTTATGGTACAAATTAAATATGTTTTGTTCATGATGGAGTAAATGATTATATATGAAAGAAGTGCAACCAATCAAAACTCTTACCAAGGGAATCAGGGCACACATACCTTGTTACTGCTACACTGGAAGAGCGTTCTGTCTAAAAGCTCCTCTGTTCCTGATGACTGCTGCTCTTCCTTGTCAGATCCTTCACTGTCCTCGTCCTGCACAGATCCTCTGTCCTCTCTCCTTTTCCTTTTATTTGCTGCATATGTTGCAATTGCATTGGTGGTCAGTGCTCGGCTCTGGAGTGTGTCCTCTGCAGGGTCCTCAGCTGTGCAAAGCAATATTACTAAATATGAATAAATGTAAGTGTATAGATAAATATATGACTTCACTTTAGCTTATTTAAATAACCTTGATAAAATCTTTTGGCTGTGATGGCATCATGGCACATAAATGTTGCCACTCTGTCGTAAGATTTACGTCCCAACTGTCGCTTGGCCTGAAAGAATAATGTTTTAAAAAGAAACCACATGAATAAAACCCATGACACTTTAACCTACTTCATTGTGTGTCAAAAAATAAAAATGAAAGGTTTTCTCACGTAAGTGCTACAGGAGGAACGTAGCATGTTGAAGGTGGGGGCAATCCCCAGATTCATCATCTCCCAGGCTGCCTTGAAAAATACCGGTAGTCTATGAAGAACACCTCCACTAGAACTGTGGAAAAAAGTCGGTGCCTCCGAACCGCCTTCAACATACTCTCTGATATGATTGTAACGCTGCAACCAGGTATACTCATTCTTGTACAGGGGGACAGCTGCTTGCCCATGATATCTTTGAGTTTTGTGCTGTTTAACCTAATACATGAAAAGACATGTTTATTCAGCTGAATAAAAAAATGTCTATGTATACTTAGATTTATATCGTTTTAGTACATACACGGATGATGCGGGCACCCTGCTTAGCTTTTTCTGCCATTTCAACCTCCTCAGTAGTCATGTTGATGATCACTCCCTTTCGGTGACCAGTTATGGCAATAATATATCCGCCCAACAGTCCAAAAAACAATTTCAATATTGTTCTGCTCTGGGGTTGCTTCTCGAGGTCATCTGTAAAAACACAAAGAGAACACTACATGTATTAATATGCTATGCTAACACATACACTGCATTTACATGTCCAGTCCCTTGTGCAGATTATAGAGGGATTTTACAAGCACCATGTCTCAAGGACCATGCAAGCACCACAAAGTATCAAACAAATTTTCCAGACCAACCATACAAAAAACCCAGTTTCCAATTACAAAACCCTGTAATGTGTCTTAAGATAGAAGATAGAAAGAGATAAAAGTCTCACGCCCCGTGCCGCCTCTACATATAGATAACAAATGCAAATGTGTTTGAGTAGTAGAAATGGCTGTTATAATGGCTGAGTGTGTGTGTGTGTGTGTGTGTGTGTGTGTGTGTGTGTGTGTGTGTGTGTGTGTGTGTGTGTGTGTGCGTCCAAAATATAACTCTAAATATTGAATGTAAATCTGTTCCAGATACCATAACTTGTAACTTGTTTTACTGAGGGTTAGTTATGCTCAGTTTCTGGCATGTTGAAAATAAATGAAACAAAGGAAAGAAAATGTGTAAGTTAACCAGTGTAATGAATCTGAGAATACAGGGAGTGCAGAATTATTAGGCAAGTTGTATTTTTGAGGACTAATTTTATTATTGAACAACAAACATGTTCTCAATGAACCCAAAAAACTCATTAATATCAAAGCTGAATGTTTTTGGAAGTAATTTTTAGTTTTAGCTATTTTAGGGGGATATCTGTGTGTGCAGGTGACTATTACTGTGCATAATTATTAGGCAACTTAACAAAAAACAAATATATACCCATTTCAATTATTTATTTTTACCAGTGACACCAATATAACATCTCCACATTCACAAATATACATTTCTGACATTCAAAAACAAAACAAAAACAAATCAGCGACCAACATAGCCACCTTTCTTTGCAAGGACACTCAAAAGCCTGCCATCCATGGATTCTGTCAGTGTTTTGATCTGTTCACCATCAACATTGCGTGCAGCAGCAACCACAGCCTCCCAGACACTGTTCAGAGAGGTGTACTGTTTTCCCTCCTTGTAAATCTCACATTTGATGATGGACCACAGGTTCTCAATGGGGTTCAGATCAGGTGAACAAGGTGGCCATGTCATTAGTTTTTCTTCTTTTATACCCTTTCTTGCCAGCCACGCTGTGGAGTACTTGGACGCGTGTGATGGAGCATTGTCCTGCATGAAAATCATGTTTTTCTTGAAGGATGCAGACTTCTTCCTGTACCACTGCTTGAAGAAGGTGTCTTCCAGAAACTGGCAGTAGGACTGGGAGTTGAGCTTGACTCCATCCTCAACCCGAAAAGGCCCCTCAAGCTCATCTTTGATGATACCAGCCCAAACCAGTACTCCACCTCCACCTTGCTGGCGTCTGAGTCGGACTGGAGCTCTCTGCCCTTTACCAATCTAGCCACGGGCCCATCCATCTGGCCCATCAAGACTCACTTTCATTTCATCAGTCCATAAAACCTTAGAAAAACCAGTCTTGAGATATTTCTTGGCCCAGCCTTGACGTTTCAGCTTGTGTGTCTTGTTCAGTGGTGGTCGTCTTTCAGCCTTTCTTACCTTGGCCATGTCTCTGAGTACTGCACACCTTGCGCTTTTGGGCACTCCAGTGATGTTGCAGCTCTGAAATATGGCCAAACTGGTGGCAAGTGGCATCTTGGCAGCTGCACGCTTGACTTTTCTCAGTTCATGGGCAGTTATTTTGTGCCTTGGTTTTTCCACACGCTTCTTGCAACCCTGTTGACTATTTTGAATGAAACGCTTGATTGTTCGATGATCACGCTTCAGAAGCTTTGCAATTTTGAGACTGCTGCATCCCTCTGCAAGATATCTCACTATTCTTGACTTTTCTGAGCCTGTCAAGTCCTTCTTTTGATCCATTTTGCCAAAGGAAAGGACGTTGCCTAATAATTATGTACACCTGATATAGGGTGTTGATGTCATTAGACCACACCCCTTCTCATTACAGAGATGCACATCACCTAATATGCTTAATTGGTAGTAGGCTTTCGAGCCTATACAGCTTGGAGTAAGACAACATGCATGAAGAGGATGATGTAGACAAAATACTCATTTGCCTAATGATTCTGCACTCCCTGTAGAATAACAGTGATTCTAATAACAGGCCTCACAGAGTGTCTGACCTTGGTGTGTGTGTTTCTGTGTGTTGTGTATAATGTGACACAGTGGAGCTAATAATCTCAAAGAATATCTGACAAACAAAATGTATGTTTTCATTAAATCATAAAATAACTAGAGAAATAAATGGTAATTAACTGAGTTTTAAAGCATTCGAATTGGAAAGGGATTAAGTTACAATGGATGTTCTTGTGAAAATGTCCTAAAGACAAATCTAACTGAAGTAGAATCACATAAACTGAATGAAACATGAAGTGATTGAATATGAATTCTCTATGTTAAGAATAACAATGAAAATGTAATGAAGCATTCACAATTTTAAAAGCTACACATTGATAGATAAGGTGTGGGAAGATATGACGTCCAGTAGGAGAAGGGGGGGGGGGGGGGGGGGGGGGGGGGGGGGGGGGGGGGGTGAACAGGTGAGGTGAAGAAGAGATTTTGTGTTTTTCTTTTTTGTCTTCTGCAAGATGAGCAGCCCAAAAGATTGGATCGAAGAGGTTCACAGTTGAAAACCTGTCCAACCTGTGAATTCATTCCTTTTTGTCTGCTCATTGTTGCTGTGTTAGGCGGTTAATTTAGAAGGATTTTGATTTACATCCTTCCTCCAACCTCTCCTCACCAAAGAAAAGAACACACTTAGCGTTAGCTTAGAGCATCTTAGTTAGATAAGTAGAGTTTAAGTAATCTGATTATTGTTTTGTGATTATTTTATTTTCCTTATTCTTATTTAATTAAATTTCCTGCAATTAAAGTTTAAATTGTGGACACCTTTTATGAAACAATAAAAGTAAAAGTCTTATTCTTTGTAAGTGCAAATACCTCTTACACTTTATTCTAGCCATAATAATGAAAATTATCTTTACAATCATCCCAGAAATAACAAGATCAAAATGTACAGGGCTCCATCTTAAGGCAGAGCTGCACATATTTCACTGCAATGGTGATGTGTTTTAGCTCTGGCTTCATGTGCATTACATTGACCAAGCTGCACATTATTCTTAAATTTAAACTGGACATTAGACAGAAAAGACATAAGCTCAGTTTCAGTGTGTGGGGTCACTGTGATGTAAAGATCTGTAGGGGCTTTGTCTTAACCCAGATCTGAAGTCTGTATAATCACTCTTAAGTAAAATGAACATTCAGTGTCATTGTGATCATTGCAGTGATCCATACCCAGTGCGGCAGCAATCTTCTGGGGAGCCTCATCAATGAACAAAGCATGTTTTTCTGCTTTGACAAGTCTTTCTAAAAAAAAATGTAAGCACAATACCTTAGACACTTTATTATTAACATCATGTCATTAAAGTAGGTAGAGGTATAGATGTGTATTATATACGTACTAGACTTAGATCTCCGCACATTCAGCTGGTGCATGACTACTTCACGGCCAACATCTCTGTTACGTGCCCTCAGTTCGACCAAAAGGGCGTTGAACCTTTTTTTTCCAAGTCTGACTTGTGGTGGTGACATGTTTAATATATATTTCATGAAAGCAATAGCATCCATGAGATAAGCTCTCTGAGTTGTTGGTTTAAACCCTTTTGCTTGCAGGTGTGCTAGAAAACTCCAAAGTCAAAAATACAAATTAGTTCATGTGTTAAACTGTATATGCACACATGTATATAGAAACTAATAATCCTTCAAATTAAACACTTACTCACGGACTTTTCCATGGTTCCTCAGAAACAGAAGGTCAACGTTTGGAATCGCTGGGTCTGCCATGAATTCCAGAAAATGGATGACATGAGTGGCTCGCTGCTTTGCATTGTCACGTATTTTTCTGCTAGGGTTCACACCTTCTGCATGGGCCCTAAATTCTTCCACCAGTCTTACTGATGAGGCAAGAACAGACGTCATATCAAAGTACATTTGTATTGGTTAACTGGAATCCATAGCTGTGCGTGGTCATGGAGCTGCATTTTCACCTGCTGGACATCACAACCTGACAAGTTTAACTGTCTTCAAAACATTGCAGAGGCCTTATTGACAGTATTTGTCTCTACATATCTGTGTGAGCATGTGTATCTCTTTATTCACAAACATGTCATATTGGCCCAGTTTATTTTTCTTATTATTGTTGTGAGGACACCATAAATAGCATTTGTATTTTCTGTTGTACAGTTCATTTGCTGTTATGGATAAAAAGTCTTTTTTTGTTTCAAAATAGCTGATAACTATTCACTGATAGCTGCCAACATCTGAGAATAAATATAATAAATATGGCCTGTATTTATATAGCGCTTTACTAGTCCCTAAGGACCCCAAAGCGCTTTACATATCCAGTCATCCACCCATTCACGCACACATTTACACACTATAATATAATTCTATAAAGTTGCTCTATATAGTGTGTAACTGTTAACATAGAGCATTATTAAATTTTTTGCTAATGCAATCATATGGCACATTGACTTCTGAGGAAATTTTAGACGGCACTCGTCATCAGAAAGGTTGCCTACCCTAGCCTAGAGGAACTGACTCTTCATAAATGAATCGAGTAGGGATCGCTATCCCAGGATGGTCAGTCATACGATGCAAGATTCTCTCAAGCACAGCGCATCAACAGGACTGAACTGCCAGCCATGC